GGGGGGCGCGTCTCAGCGCCTGGTGCTTCTGCGCGCAATCGTCAAATGCACGCAACAATCCAGATGACAAAACCGCTGATAAACGAGCCTTATATTATATGCAATGTGTGTTCCCTCTCTGTCGAGGCCCCTAAGACAGCAAGAACATCCGTTAAATGTTACCATTCGTCTTGAATAAGGACTTTTTTTATAGTAGTTTGTGGGAAATAATGGTGAAGTCACTGTACCTTTCAAACAGCTTTTTTTTTCCGTGCATCTTCCAGTAAGCAGCTCAATCAGGCATCTCTCAGTTCCAGGACAGAAAACATCCGAAGGGGAAAAGTTGAGTCTTGATACACTCAACTTTTGAAAACTAATTAAAAATTGGCAATGGCATAAGGCAAACAGATACAATTGGATAATTGGTTGAGGAGGATTTAAAATCTGTTGGATAATGGATCCATAGGTGTTGCCAAAGCCAATGTAAAAGTGCCACTATCCCCTGCATTATAATAACATAAGATACAAAAGAACACACATGAAGCCAATCTTAAACAATTCGGAATTCGGAGCATTTGTGTTGCCTCCACATGGCTCTCAACATGGAGACGGCTGAGTCAGCGCCAAGCAGCTAACGGTGCTAACAACTCTAACAGTGCAAACAACAGCAACAGAGCTAACTGTGTTTACCTATGGGGAAACCAAAGGGTGGGTGCTACGATGATGGCGTGTGTCGGAACGGCGTTATCAGCTGTAACCGCTGTGTGAGCTCAGCGCAGTGTCACGGACATGAGCTAGACATTGGGGCATGCTCACATGCACTAAAAGGCACCTGCGCTATGTAAACAAAGCATGGAGAAGCTCGGATAACAACACAGAGGAAGTGTGACTTTATTCTCTGCTCATAGATATTACTCATACTTTACTTTTAAAGTTCCTAAAGTAGATAGATACAAAAGATGATACAACAAGTACAAGTATACCTACTGCACCCATCAAGTGTAATCAAGGAAACCTGACAAATTCAGTTCTTCGTTTATGCCAAAAGGCTCAAATAAGAGTGAATCCAACCTGCTGAGCAGTGAGTTGTCACCACCTCTAGGAGAGGGTACATTTCTTTCCTTCTCCCCAGGAATTTAGATTTGAATGCAAAACTGATACTTGATACTAAAGGTGTGTTTATATATTGATGTATTGGTACTTTAACTTAGCTCAGGTAGAGAATCTCAGTAGGCATACTTCTTCCACCACTGACAACATGGATACCTGCTGCCATCTTAAAGGTGCAGTGTGTGGGATTTGGCACCATCCAGCGGTGAGGTTGCAGAGTGCAACCAATTGAAATTTCTTCTGTTCGCCAAAACATTAGGAAAACTATGGTGGTTGACCCGAAAACATGAAAACATGTGTTTGGTTAGTCTGTTCAGGGCTACTATAGAAACATGGCATCCGGCACCGTGAAGAGAACCAGCTCTGCCAATTGATCACCCGAAATGTTACACACTGTTACTTTAATGCACAATAGTCCAATAACAAGGAGAAGAGACATTTAGCATGAATTGGTAATTATACTCTACTTCTGTACTTTAAAAAAAAGAAAAGAATGCTGGACTGTGTTGTGGTGTGTTACAAACACAGGACACTGATACAGAGGTTGGACAGCTTACAAGAATACATGGAAAGCTTCACATACAAAGTTCGGCCTGAGCATAGCTACCACAGTAGTTGTGATAACGATTTAATGAAATGCAAGGGATGATGGAGTTGATGCGCTGCAGCATTAATGAGTAGATTGGTTGCAGCTGTGCAATTTGCAACAGGTGAGTCAGCTTGGCAGCAATCAGGGAGCCAGAAGAGTGAGTGGAGGAGCCACAACGACACCAACATACTCAGACATGAGACGCAAGAGACACTGGGAAATGGCCGACTTTTGCTATTGATGTTCTCATAGTGTGTTATTGCTGCATTTACTTCTTAAAAGCATGTAAAGTAAATGATCCACCACTGCTTGTGTTGCAATCAGCTCTCAGAAGTTGTGTTAAGTCTAAGACCTGCAGCCAGATTCACCAAATAAAGATTGATAGATTCAGCTCTAATTGTGTTTTTTCCGGCCTTTACTTTTAAAGTTGGTGCTGGAAACAATCACAACTGCTGTACTGTGGGAAACAAAGAGTCATATAGGCCTATTTTGGTATTTTGTCCCTAGAGAGCAGAATGGAAACAACTCTCTGTGAGGTATTAGTCCTATTTCTGTCTCTCTTTCACTGATGCATGTAAAGTCTCTGCATGACTCACTGGAGACCTCAGTCACACATGACTATCCGTCACAGCTCTGCAGTGGTACTGTGTGTGATGATAACAGAGCCAAACCAACTGTACCTGCGGTTAACAGCAGCCACAACAACAAAGTCCCTGTTGAGACAAAGACCGGCCTAAATATTCAGTGTATGGAGATTTCATGTCAAAGAAGAAACAAAGTCCTTTCCAACTATACGTTAATGTTTCATACGTGGCTCTGCACTGATTGACCGGGTTTATGTGGAAATGTTGCACCCTAGAAGCAGTCTGCGTTTACTGTTGTCCTTTCCTGAGTAGCTGAGGGATAAATGAGATCGCGTTTTCTTACTGTATCTATTTTGACAGGTGCCCTCGACCCAGAGCAATTTCATTCAAGCAAGACAGGACGTGATTGTTGCCTTTGTTCATATGCAGACTACAACTTTAAAATATTTAATTCTAAAGTTAACAAAAACCCTGCTTGGAAAAAGCTAATGTAATAGTGATAACCTTTTACAAACAGATATCAAGTTTTTGCTTGTTTCTTTGTAATTAGTATTAAATATGGTTGTTGTGTGTGTGCGTGCGTGTATGAGAGAGAGACTGTATGTGCTGCAATGTTGTCTGTTAAACATTTATAGAAGAAACTGATGTTTTGTTATGTGGATGTCTGTGTGCACTGAAAGCCGGCTATATGGTCACTGTGGGCTCTTCACATCAGCCTGCTGAGTTTGCTTGTCCCTTTGTCACGTCTGAGCTGCTGCTGCTATCATCAGCAGAAACACACACACACACGCACACACACACACACACACACACACACACACACACACA